CTGACATTACTTCGTTAAAACTACCACACTCCCTCATGCAATACATCCAGAATGAGTCAGTGTCAAGTCTTGTAGTAGTTTAAATGCCAACAAAGCTTAGGAACCAAAACATTCCACTTCTAAGAAACACGTTACAAGGAATTCTTACAGATTATGAACATCAGTTTTCCAAAGTGAGGTCTGCTACTGCTAATCCCTCCAGATCAAGGGAGATTACAGTATTACATTTATTATTGTTCATTCAGTGGGTTTTCCCCTAAAAAACACGTTAGTAAAATACTAGCAAGAAGTGTAAATAAAACAGTATTTGCTGTGTAAAGAAGCCAAAAGAGCAACGCGGGATTAGAGGGTTTACAAGCTTCCACAGCATATCTGACTCTTACCTTTTGTTTTTTAAACAGTGGTTTTGTTTTGTTAGAAGAAACAAGTAGCTTTACAAAGTGATCTTCACACTGTTTCAAGACACACCTTTTACTGCAGCTATTACTTCCCCTCATTTTCCAAATGGGGTCCTACAGTTCTTATGGGTCCATCTTTGGCAACCAAGTTTTTACACATTCCCTAGGAAGCAGGTTGTAGTCCTCAGTTTACCATTACTTTTGCCAGGTATCATAACTTTGAATGTTCAGTTACATCTGCAGGGTCAATCCAGAACAAATAAATGGGACAATAAAACTAGTTTCCCCATAAGTCTTGAGACATTTTTGTTTGTCTTTAAATGCTTAATGGAAAAATTTATCAGGTTCGAGTATCACAAAATGTAAAACTCCTTCAATGTTCTAACGTCCAGTGTTGACAAAAACCTTATGATAAAAGTTAGGAAGCAGAACAGTGTCGATAAATAGGTCAGCTTCACTAATTAACGCATCAGTCCCAAAACTAACAGTATTCTTTCTTAAAGGCAAGCTGGCATGTGTTATTTCTGTGTTCAGAAATTTCGTGTGTTCAGCCTTGTCTACTCAACAGGCAGTCACTATCACTAACACACTAGATCAAGATGACCTTCAGCTATACTTCATGCAGTCTCCTATTTTAACGACCTATTTACTGAAGACATATTCAAGCCTATACTGCACAACGATACTTCAGTAAATACAACTCCATTCCTCCACCAAACTTAATCCTTCAAAAGATTTTTCCCAACCGGTTCTCAATCCCAGCGCCTTGCCCAATACAACTTGTTTCGCTTCATTCTCAAAAAAGCCGATCGACTGCGTGAGAAAGGAAATAAATGGGCTGTATCTGAATTGTATGAATGTATTCTGATACCCCTTCAGGAAGCCGCTGCACATCCTGTTTCTCCTACTCGCTTTGAAGTCCTCCCGAGCCGCACCACACTATCTGTTTTCCTCCCCGGCCCCTCCTCCCCAGCTCATCCTTTGGTTTCCCACGTTACTGAATGTATAGGTATTTTTAGTCAGCACTTCCTAACCACCAAAATAAAGTCACCGGCCTCTCTCCCTCTCACTCGCACACACGTTACACAAAGAAACAGAAGCATTAATGACCGTTTCCAGAACAACCCTCTACCACCAACTTCCTGCACATCAATAATTTCGCAATTTCTGCTTGACAAACAGACTCCGATGCCCGAGGTCTGGACGGGAGGGGGCATTTCTGCTCGCCCGCTCACTCAAGGAAGCCTCCGGAGCAAAGCCCGCGCCAGCCGCGCCGGGCCCGCAGCGGCCCCGCCGCATCCCCCCCTCTCCCCTCCACCTCCCTGCCCGCCCCACCCTCGCTCCCGCCGCCGGGCTCCGGGGACGCGCAGACCCCGGCCCGCCCCCGCCCGCACGTGCGGGCCGCGCCCGCCATAAAGCCCCTGCTCGCCGCCGCGCAGCGCGGCCCGGGCCCCCGCAGCCCCCCCGCCGCCTGGCCCACGGGGCACCTCCGTGAGGGGCTGCTGCCCGCCCTCCCCCCCTAGCGCCGCGCCGCCTCACGGCCCCGCGCGCCACGGCCTCAGCCGCCCCGCCGCAGGGAAGGAGCGGGAGCGGCGGCCCGCGCCGCGGAGCCCGGGCAGCAACGGGCGCCTGAGCGCGGAGTCCCCACCTCGGCCGCCGCCGCACTTACAGATCTTCCCGCGGAGGTTCTGCAGCACCCGCACCTCGTCGCCGACGCCGTCGCCGGCCGCCATCGCGCCAGCAGCGCCGCCTGCGCAGTGCCGCGCGCCGCGGGGGGAAGGGAGCAGCCCGGCCCCGCGAGCCGCCCCACCCCCGCCGGCCGCCGCCCTCGGGGGGCACCAGAGACCGAGCGGGGCGGGGGGCGGCGGCGCGCATGCGCGCGGGGGCCTGGCTCCCAGCAGGCCCTTGCGCGGCGGGCCCTGGCCAGGGTGGGCCGCGCCGCTCCAGGTCCGTGTCCTGAGCGCCTCGGTCTTTCCTGTCCCGCTCACGGGGGCAGAGGGGCCCTAGTTGCGACGCACGCTAAAGGCTGGCATTTACCGTATTAATCGCATTAAACGGCTGAAACGAGTGACGGAGCTGGTTGCTTCGGCTTCCTGCATGCTGAGCGCCAGTCTCTCTGACGAGCACCTGATGGCCTCTGTTCAGTCTTCTCTGCTCCCACTTCTATTTGCCTGTTTGGCCGCGTAAGAAGTGCCATAAAACAAGTAGGAAGTGGTTCAGCTTCCAGTGCCGCCTGCAAGCTGGAATGCGCGGGCTTTGCTCACTGGAGTCCCAAGACTCCTGAAGGTGTTGGCAAACTACAGATAATGTCCTGCCGCAGCCCGCCTTCATCAAAATATAAGGGGCCTTTGCATCACGTTCCACACCAATGTTTCTTGAAGATACAGGTGCTAATCTGAAACTCTGCGATCTTGTTTGCATCTGGTGTTCGCCCCTCTCTCACATCGCTGGTGGGTGTCTTTCTTAGGTCTGCGTAATCATCCCAGCCGGCCGCTGCAGGAGGCATGTCCAATTTGGTGACACGCTGAGGATACAGCAGCTTCCAGGCCCTGTAAGCGCAGAGACTGGTTACAGCCTTTAGTGGCTGATGAATCCTAAAATGGAGGTAATTCATTGGGCTAAAGCTGTTTCAGAAAACAGTAAAGGTCTAGGATTTTTCACTTTGCACCTAGAAAGCCCCCTTCAGTCTGTCCTGTTAAAGTGGAGTTTGGAAAGCTCCAGGCCAGCATCTGTCCTTTGTCTCTACTTGAAGTCATCTGCTGTGGTGCTCTGACCATTTTATATTTTTCCTGCACAAATCTTGCCATTATGATGATACAGCATTGAGCCACATCATCTGACAGTCGGGCACTACTGTGCCTCATTCCTTGGTGGCTTTTCCTGCATCCAACTTCTCCCCTACTGCCCCTTCCCCCCACACCACGCCATGGCTGGGGGAGGACAGGAGTGTGTTTAAAGGTGGCAAGCAGGGGGGGTTGGTAGGGAATAAGCTGCTTCATCACATCAGTAACGAGTGTATTTGTATGCATGCAAAACCCAAATCTGCACAAAGACGCAAGTTTGCATAAACTAAATTATAGCCTGTTAGAAATTGAGAGGTTCCTCTGCAGTACAAATTGAGGATTTGATTATCTACAGTTGGCTATCTGAGTTGGCTGCCCTGTCTGACCGCTGGCTGGTGAGCTGAGGCTAACCTGGGCAGAGTCAGAGCTTTGATCTGAGAAACACAGCAGGGTATAACTGTGAGAATGAAGATGTATGCTTAAACTGTGGGTTGCAACATTTTAAAAGCTAGATTGTGTGACTCTAGTTCTCCCATACTCTCAAAAGTTATGATTAGTTGGAGTTTACTGTTTAATTTAGCATCAGCTTCCTTCGAAGCACAGACCTCCTATCGGCATTATCAGTGCAACTTTAATTGTCTAGTACCCGACACTCCATTTTATTTTGAAAGTGTCTTGTTTTAATCTAACATACTATATTCAGAATACTGTTTCAACTGCATAATGTTTATTTTTGGCCTCTCTCAAAGTTACGTTTTAGGAGCAGCTGTATGACAGCTCTGTTCAGCTATGGAGATAGTTAAAACACTGGTGTGCTAACTTACAAATTTAGGGGAAAGACATCTTCATTTAACAGTGAGGATGTAAGTAGGGGGATCTTTGCTCTTGTGAGATAACCTTTTATGTCAGCTAAGGTTTAAACTGTCAGTGATAATTGCTCTATTAAGGAAGTTTAGAACAAATACACGGCATGATGACAATTAATGGCTTCATATGCTTCTGCCTGTAGTTTAGCTGTGTCATCTAATTTCACAGAAGACAGCAATATCATTCAGTACATTTGTTCTAATTTTGGTTATGTCATAAATGAGGACTGGCTAACATTTTATTTAGATGCACAAACTCTGAGATGATCCACCTATATTTTTAATCAGCATTTGAAGTAGAGAAAAATGTATGTTACGTGTAGCAATCTTCCAGATTTTTATTAGTTATACATCTCTCCCAAGGAGCATCCCAAAATGACCTGCATAATTTAGCTTAAATTTAATTTTTAATGCAAGTTACAGACTAGTGATACTTAGCTGAAGGAATACTTTGAATATGTGTAATTTATTTTGTATGTATCTTCCTATTTCCTTATGCAATTAGATATTTGCATTCTGAACTATGCTCCCTGACAGTAGTCCCAAAAGATTTGAAGTACAGTGTGTAAAATACACAGTCTATACTGCAAGGTTATTATCAGAATTGAAAAGAATTTTTAAAGTTTCAGGTCCTCAGAAAACATGTTCAAGATGTTGCAAAGTATCAAATGCAGTTCACCTGTCTTCCAAGTCCTTTAAGATACTGAGCAGGCAGATTCTGTTCACCTCAGCACTGTGTTCACCCTTAATGTTACAATGCCAGGAGATACCATCACTTCCCTTCAGCTCTGACGTGTTCTCAATTCACTGTTTTGACCTTAACGAAGAGAGTGTTTGGTAACTGTGTTGCTTAATCCTCTAACGAAATAACTATTAGAAGATACATATCTCTGAATCTTACAGATTATGTAAGTATTAACATAATTTAAAAAATGGAGAGACTTACAGAAAAATAGGAAGATGTTATTTTAATTAAGCAAAAACAGAGTTATAATCACTCTCTAAAAATAAAATTAGACTCTTTATCAATCCGTAACATCTGCATTTAATATTTTCTTCTAAACAAAAATACAGATGCAGTTATGTAGCAAATTACAGTCTTTGACAACGTACAGTATTTACTTTCTCTTACACTTACTTTAATTCTAATTTGGTCATTAAGACTTGACTCATTACTGCAACATATTACTTGTAGTAAAAGTGCCACAATTGAACTATAAACATGACATTGCCGTCTTAAAACTGCTTTGCTATAAACTGTAGAGAATATACAGAGTTACAAAGTCAATGTGTTTTTATCAAAATATACAAACCCCCCCAAACCTAACACAAGCTATCAATATTTTTCTTATGAACTATACAGTTATATAAAATATTTGTAAAATTATCTTTATAAATATTCTACCTTATTTGCTTTGGTCTATAATTATCATCATACAAGTCCACTTAAAAGATATCTTTGTGTACTTTCTTTGAAACATTGTACTTTTCTGTGTTTCTGCTTCTATTATCCTTACTTGAATGGAACCAAAGCTGCCATGAAACCAAAATATCTCAAGGGGTTCATAGCATTCACCAATGATAGAATAAATAAGTGGACTATATTATTACTTCAATCAATACTGTATTATCATTTCAATTGCAGTTTTATTGTACCCAAGCTATAGTTTCTTTTAAAATATGCAAGAAGACGAAGTAAGTAAACAAACTGTGTACCATATTTGCACATAGAATGAAGTTGAGGATCACTAACCTTTGTCCTGACTTGATTTTTTTAACACTTCACAGAGATGAACATACATGAGTAACTGGAAATGCAGATACAGTACAACAGAGCCCTATCATACAAAATGCAACTTGTAGACATACATCCTCTCTGACTTCTTTTAAATCTCTTCATCTCGGTTAAAATTAATCACTTTTTCACAAAATAATATTAATTGTAGTATTTTGATGATGTCTTTCAGAAGCCTGTTCTTCCAATCCTTACCAAACTGTGAAGCCATGAGGCTCACCATAACCCTTTGGTGCGGCAAGATGAGGGAGGCAGAAAGGCCAGCACTGCTTCCTTCCTCCAGCAACCCCTTCCAGGCCCCTCTCTGCCACAGGCCCCCAGTGCTGGGCCAAGGGACACTGCAACAATGCTTGCCTGGGGCCAGATGCTGGCGTGGTTAGGGGGATCACTGAGGAGGGACATACAAAGGTTAGATGTTGTATTTAAGGCATGGGGATGACGAGGAACCCCATAAACTGGCCGTATCCCTGTTTATAAAGAGCGAGTGCCTCAGGGATACATAGGGAAGCAAGAATCTGAGTATTTACCTACTCCTTACAAAATCAAAGTATTTACGGGGAACTGCTCTGTCATTTGTTGTCCTGGCATTATTTCAGGATGAGGAGGAAGACTGTCTAAGTCTCCTCTTCTTCTGCTGAGAATAATAATACTCCTAAAAGACAGGAGCTGCAGACCCACCAGGAGGTGGATGTTTATATACAGAATTTCTTTAAGCTAGGCTGTCTCATCAGAACAATTTTCTTTAGACAAATGCACCCGAATAGCTCTACCAGGCCACTGACATTGGAATCTATGCAGTTTGGAAGACTGGCTATTGTGAGTTCCACCAAATCTTTATTAAATGTCTCAGAGACATCATAAATCTGGAATACTTTCAACAAAAGCACTCAGACTTAATGGTTATTATGGTAACTACAAAACTGATTACGGAAAGGAAAAGAGGTTTAAACTCCTGAATATGTTTCATAAATGTTGAGTTACAGAAAAACACACCAGCACTCAACTGTACTTCAACATACCCAAGTTCATTAAACATTTCCCACTTTCACTTTAGAATACACTAGATTACAATTATTTTGTTTATAAACACATTTTGTTTAAAAAATGCAATATATAGTTTCTGCAGCAAAAATTCCTTTTACAGAGTACACTGTGAACCTACATATTTATTTTGCCTACAGCGATTCTGACTCAAAAACAGCACTGTAAAATAGTTCAGTGACTAGTTTCCTGTAATGCTGAGTAGAAGGGTTTTGGTTGGTCATATTTTTTTTCTTTCTCTCTCTATACATGTTAGAAGTGTATTGTGGCAAAAGTATTTTGGGTCTTTCACATTAAGTTTGTATTATTGCAAATACTGGTTTTTCTTTTCTGTGTTATTCTTCCTTCTTTTGCATATATTGACACCTATCTAGACGAACTATATTTGATCTGAGTAAATGATACTAATTTGAGTGGAGACGTTTCCCTGATCAATGCATCTATATTTTCTCTGATATATAGCCTTGGATTTTTCTTCTCTTTTGCACAGCTGTCACTCAGAGTATAACTTCTGGAGTTACATTTTGTATACTGTTTACTTCACTTCCTTCTGAGCCAAGGAAATGTGGATTTTCCAGAAGTTTAGTGCTTTCATTGCAAAACTGTTCTTTTCTATCTCGTGGACCTGGACTTTTGAATAGATGTTTCTTCTGGTGCATTCCCAGAGCAGCTGCTGTCTTGCAAATTTTGGGGCACTGAAAGCAAGCGTATCCTTTTCCATTATGGTCACGGACATGCCTTTGTTCATGGTTCCTCTTGGTAGAAAGATACAAGAAGCTTTGAAAGCAGAACTGACATTGGTAGCGTTTTTCTCCAGTATGAATTCTTTCATGTATTTTGAGTGTTTCATTTAAAGTGAACGCCTTATTACAGTATTGGCAGACAAAGTCTTTGACGCCCAGGTGAATACGTTCATGTTTCTGCAGATTTCCAAGAACTGAGAAACATTTACCACAGGTTTTACAAGTGTAGGGCTTTTCCCCAGTGTGACTCCTCATATGCATTTTTAGGGTGGATGGACTTTGAAATTGTTTTTGGCATAATTCACAAATGTAAGGCTTTGAAGTAGCTACATGCCAGTGTACGTGTTCTTGAACTTCTGCAGTGGAAGACTGATCTCTTTCACAGAGCTCACAATGAAGACTGGGCATTTCTCTGTTCTCTTCTTGACTGACTGCCTTTTCCTCAGGAGCATTCCGGAGTGCATACTCTCGACTGCATGTGTTGTGGCTTTCCATAACAGTGTTCTTGCTTCCGTGCTTTTTCCTCCATTTGGTCTTTTTCATTTTTCTTAGCTGTTTGGATTTCTTTTTTGGTTTGTAATTATAATAGGGTCTCCAGGGTTTATCACTGGAGTCCTGGTCACTTACGTCATCGCACATTTCTGTCAGCTCCACGCATTCTGAGCTATAGAGCCTAGATGGGCTTCTTTCCTTTATCTCCACTTCTGATTCCTCAGTTAGGTTGTCTTGTTTGGACTCATGTTTAGATTTTTGGCCCCTTTTACAAAACAGCTTAGATCCTAATATATGTCTTTTGACAATAGCCTCGTTACCAATTTTTACTGTTATTTGACAAAGAGGTGCAACATTGCTGTCAGTAGATGTTCCAGGTAAGGCAGGCTTTGCAATATACGTTTCAGTTTTACTCGATTCTTGGACAGTATTTGTTGTTTTGCCAGATGAACCTCCAGATCCTGTGACGTGTTGCGTATCCTCAGTTGTTTCTGCTCTGTTGTACAGCAGTGTTTTCTTTTTTTCCTTAATAGTTTTTGATTTTGTAATGCACTTCCCATAACTATCTGACCCATATTTACAGTCATCATTTACAGACTGACTGGGTAGATTATTTGAAGATTCTGTCTTACTGTTTTCTGCAGAAGCAACTGTTTTACTGTGCATTATTACTGATGATACTCTGCTGCTGTGCATTATAACAGAGGGTGCAGAACTGCTGTAACTGATGACAGAGGTTGAATTTTCACTCACATTAGTTAAAGGCACAGCTGAGGAATCACACTCCTGAGAACCAGAGTCATTTACAGTAGGGGAAACTCCTTTTTCAGCTGTGAAAAAGTCCCTTTGCAGGTCAGAATTTAAGATACCTACTCCCCAAGAGGAAGAATTCTGAGCATTTGTGGAAGATGCTGTATCATTACATGAAGATGTATCCAAGGCAAGAGTTCTGTTGTTTGCTATTATATTACTTTGAAAATTCAGCGGTGGTAGCTCAGAGCTTAGAGAACTTGGAATGAAACAGTTAGAAGAAGCAGTTTCGTTAACCTGGCTACTTGTTTGAATGTTTTCATATGAAGAATTTCGGTAGGACTTATACGGTAGTCGCCTGCATTTCATAGGTAAAAGTCGATAAAGTTTGTATGGGTACATACTTGGTTTTAAGCCTCCATTGGCTGTCTTTTTATTTACTGAGAGACGATGGTCAATTGCATGGAAAGACTTCTGATGATTTTTTAGTATATAGTAAGTCATGAAAGTTTCCAGACAGAAAATGCACTGATACCGTCTTTCTCCAGTGTGCCATATCTCATGCCTGGTCCGATACTCAGCTAATGCAAATACTTTATTGCAGTAGTGACAAGGATATGTTCTTCTCCAGGAATGCACGTTTGCATGTCTTCGAAGGCTAGACAGTGTTACATAACTACGCTTGCAAACAATGCAAGTATATAGTATCTGCCCATCAACAACTTTAACCAAATGATCTGTTTCTGGTAAAGTGCAGTTTGTGTTAGAGTAATCAGTGATGCTGTTTTCAGACAATAGAGACTCTGCGTTTGCAAATGAACTGCCATTCCTTCCGTCTGTAGCAGAATAGTTATCTGCAAAATTTTGTTCATTTCCATTGTGAACTGATAAGCTACTGGATCTCATGCAGACTTGTTCATGACTTTCTAGTATATTTAGATTTGCAAATTGTTTGCTGCAGTATTTGCATATGAAAGTTTCCTGATGCTCTGGATGGAGCTGGAGATGAGTACTGAGTAATGCCCTGTCATTGAATGATTGTGCACAACAGTTACAACTGTAGACAGGTGGAACGACAGTTGCGGTGGATCCAGATACATTAGCAGAATTGTTTTCCTCTTCTCTGGGTAAATGGAAATCTCCTGCTTTATTTTGAGGTTTTGGAAAAGAAATAATTGTCTGATCAGTAACTGTTTCATTTTGGGCTTCTGTAGTGGTTACTGTAGAGGCCGGTACTTTTGCTATAGCCAAACCAGTACCCTGGGGCTTAAAGGCTGTTTTAGGAGTACTACATGCTTGCTTTCCCGGCTGAGTGAGGGGTGTGGCTTGGAGATTTTCATAGTGGTCTTCACCCATCTTGTATGAAGGGCTGCTGTCCTGCTCAAGAAAAGGTGTTCCTTGAAAAGAATCTCCCCCAGAAGAAACTGCATAGGAATGTTCAGCCAGTGTACTGGCTGGCTCAGCATCCTTGCAAGCGTCGCTTCTGTCGAGGCTGATGTTGGGAGCTTGTATTGTCTCAGATACCTTTTTAAAGCTTGCCCTCAAATCAAGTGGAGAAAACAAACTGTTTTCCGTTTCAAAAATTGAGAATGCATTCGTAATTCGTGGTCCATTTGTCACAGCGGAGTCTTCATGTCTCTTTTCGTTTTTTTCCTCTTTGACAGTCCCTTTTTCATTAATACAGTATGCATAGGGGCAGGGGGAACTTGAAAAATTAATATCTGTAAGATCTTCTAGAAATGATATCCCCAGTTTTTTCCCTGCAGCTGCAAGGTCCGTTACAGTCTCCTGCCTCTTAACAACTACTGTGGAACTGTAGATGTAATTCAGTATTTCTGTAAACACTTCAGCTTTGAGATCATCTAACTCCAGCACATGACCTGAAATACAGATAGTACGACTCCAAAAAATGTTTTTAAAGTAAAGGCTTGAAGCTGCTAGCACATTACTATGGGCTTTAAATTTGGTATCTTCCACAATTATGGTGACATCACATAAAATACCCCGAATACGCTGTTCATTTAAAATGGAAAGTACAGTGTCACTGTGGAAGTCGTCCTTGAGATCCTTTGAATGGGACATGACTGTCATCTACGAGAAGAAAAAAAAAAACAGTAAATAGATTTAGAAAGCATTTTTCATTCGTTTCAAGTACAGATACAGTCTATAGTTCAATATTTATATATTTTTAAAATTGATTAGCTTTCAAATTATAAGAATGAGCAAAATTTTGTCACAGCCTTTTAAGTTGAAGTCATCTCAAGTTCACTCATGCCAACAATACTGAAGGTAATCTCTGTGCAGATCAGGGATGCAGGAACACCAGTAGCTCCTCAGCAGGAGGCAGACGCTCTTCTCTGTCCCCCTGTGGGTCCATCGCCCATTCCATGCCTTCCACGGGGGACCGCACCCACCAGCTTTCTGCTGCGCCAGCTGGTGCATCTGCTCAGGTTCACACTGACTGACTCACAGAGCCTTTGGGGTAATTCCCCCAGCATGTGGCTGAGGTATTCGGTGGACATGATGGGGAAGGCTGAATTGCTGTGGTTCTGTGGATACTGGGGACTTTGTTTTCTGGGGCTATTTGTCAGACAATGCCTTTACAACACAACTGCATCTGATCCCCTTATTAAGCTGATATTTAAAACAGGAATCAGATATCCCATGCAATAAAGTTTCAGTGACAGGATAAGGCTTTATAAACAAACTGATGCACAAGCAACACAAATTTTGTAAACAACAGTGGAATACGTACAACACTCTTTACATATAGAGAATATTATTTTTAAAATAGTGATTAAATTTTTTAAAATAGTTTACACTTATTTTAAAATGACTGAAAATTTATAATTGAATTTATAAATTCAGTGAATAAAAGAAGTAGAGAGTAATAGAATGTTTTTTCTTCAGTTACAGTTTATAGTGCTCACACTTCATTATTTGACAGTGTGTTCTTAAGTTCTACTAAATAATATTTAATTGCAATAGTAAATACCATTAAATAACTGTCAATTTATAATAATAAGGTTTAATGCTGACAAAAAAAGTTTAGATTAGCCAGACTGCTACTGTATGAATATACTGGTTTATTTGAGATAAAAGATGCAAAACATGAATGAAAAATAGACTGAAAAAATGGATGATTTTGACAGTAGGTATCTGGAGAAAAATCTGACTTAACCAGATGATGTTTTTGTTTTGTTCAAATTCAGATCTGTACCATATAATGAGTTTTGTTCCTTTTTTTCCATCTCTGAGTAGTGTTTTCTACTATTGCCCATTTATGACTTCAAGTCATGGAGAAACAGTCCTGCTGGCACTCACCAATCACTACAGTAAAAAAATCTGCATAGAGAAAAGACCTTTTTTCTTTCAACTTGTTGAATCAAAATGTACCTTTAAAGAAAATGACCAACTACAGATATTTTGTAAGGTAGATTAAAATAGTACCACACTGCAGTGGTCTAAGTTAGGAATACCTTCCAAACATTCCATCTACTGTTCCAAACTTAAATGACAAGCTTGAAAATGTTTATAATGACTCTTACCCTCAAATGGTTTACATTAAAAATGTGAATATATTTATTAAGGTGGGTTCAATCCCAATGTTGAAACAAGGGTTTGACCCATATTCACTAAGCAAACAGCAACGGCCATTAAGAACACGCTGGCACTCTCACACAAGCTATTCAGAAATAATCCTTTCTTGTAATTAGGGTCTTTATCACAAAGTAAGTAATATGGGACATACACCCTTGCTCTAGGTAATCTAGTTACACTTGGGACACTTTACCACACATCCACCACCTACTTCACTGCAAAGAGAACTACATAAGAGTGACAACCCTACTGTGAAGACAAACACCATGTACTATGAAAACGATCATAATTTGGTACGTTATGGATGAAACTTGGAAGTAAAATTTGTACTTTGTAGTACGGCCACTGTTTCCATCAGGAAGGTATTCCCTATGCAAACGGCCAAAATTTCTAATACAGTTTAGTAGCTGAGAATTTTCAATGCACAGAATACAGAAAAATCAAATTTGTGATTCACAAAAAAATACTTCTGATGCTTCTATCACAGATGTCAGGAAATTAATTCACCAGTATAACTGTGATAGAAATGTAGACATATATTATTTTTCTTCTCTGGTCACTCACAAGAGATGTAAAACTAGATGGATTGTTTTGTGCCTTTAAATCTTAAAATCATAGTTTATAATGTATTTGTTTATTACATTTATTTGGCTTGAAATACTGTTTATTCCCCTGGAACAATAACCTGAAATTCACAGTAGTTAGGTATGGCTATCTACTTTGGTTTGTATCTGAAAACCCATATATAATTGTAGATGGTTTCTAATGTATTGAGTCTTCTACAGAAGAAATACTGACAAGAACACTTTTCTTCAAGCAAGCAGCCACTATCCCATAATTGATTCTTTTTTCTCATTGACAATGTCTGAGATTACATCTGACTTGCTCATGTGATGTGGTATTAGAAACCAACTGTCGGACATCAAAAACATTTCACAACAGGAGCTATTGATAGAGTTATTTCCGGAGTATAGGAAATAAGTGATGTCAACTCTACCTCCCAGTGAACTGCCCATAGGAACTTGACTGTGTTTCTTCTGTTTTTTTATTGGAGACAGCTGGTTTTATTTCAAAGACACATCATCTGACACACTGTTAGCTAAATATAACAGACTGCTATTTCTATACTGTTGCAGATGAAGATATCTCACACGGTTATGATTTAATAGCAATGCAAAGATTTATTATTGGTGTGAGGTAGATCAAAGGTTAAATTCTAGCAGCACATAATGATTGATCGATTTAAAGATTAACAAAGTGATTTGGTAAAATGCGATTAAAATAGCAACGTGATTACAGATTTGAGAATGACAAGATTCACACTTGCTACAAGGTTTTCTGAACCAAAGCGTGTGTGTGTGCATATTTATATATATATGTAAAACAAGACATACACATACACACACACAAGCAGCGTGGAAATACCTGGATATCCAGTGAAATATATATAAACATCCACACTCGTAAAGGTAAGTGTGTCTATCCAAGCCCACCGATAGATGAAAGGGTGGATGGAAGAGGCTGGCCTACGGTTAAGATTTCCCTCTTCTCAAGTTTGGAGCAAATACTCACAACGTATCAGTATTTCTCAACGGGTGATAACTGAGAGTCAAGAAGCCTGACTTCACCCTGGCCTTCCGTTGGCTTTGTGGGCAGATGATCTTCAAACTTGGAGAACTCTGAGCCCGAGAGTCCCAGCTCAGGGGAGACGCTGGTCACAGCCCGCTACAGACCGGGAGAGCTCAAAGGGTCTCGCTTGGAATCGCTATTTATAGGGTCAAAGATAACTGACTTTTGTCAGGTAATTTTCCATTTCAGCTCCACTTGGATGAGGAAAGACTCTGGTACTTTCTACCAGTTGTGCAGGCCCAGAACTCGCTAGATTCTGAAGTTCTGGCATCACCTGCCCTGGGCCACGACCCAGGTGCAGATGCACTGGGCTGTCAGGAGGTGATCGATTGTCATTATCGCTCCCAAGCCACAGGGGAAGCAGGAGCCAGGTACCTTAAGGGGGTGCCTAAATGCTCTGGTCTGCTGCCTTTCTCAACTCATCTTGGGCTGGTGTGTGGCCCAGGAATGGGGGGAATCACACCAAACACTGAGCAGCCCAGCGTGGGGGGCGTTGCACCACCACACATAATAGGCATTTATAAACAAGGCCTACAAACCCAAGCTGTTTCACTATTCAGCTATCTATTTCAAAATTTAACCTCCTAAGGAGAAAAGTTAATATTTTCAGTTTCTACTTGCATGTACCTAAATTGCGTTTTTGCAGGCCTGGATATTTTGGTAAACTCGGTAAAATACGAAACTAGATTCCTTGTATAAATGTAGTAGAAACTATTATTTGCTATCTAAAGGCTTAATTTTTTTTTACTGTGTGCTAAACTATTTGCTATGTATCTCATTGGAAAGTTATACAGAAAAATTCCAGCCAATACTTCTTGGTTCTCTGTTTCAACCTATGCATTCCCTAAACAGTCCGTTTATTCACGTGTGTAATGATTCTCTCTCTACTGCCTTTTATTCTATCTTGCTTCTTGCATTTGTGAAAAATGTGTCTGAAATGCAACAAAATTGGAATGCTCTATCTAGCACCCACATAAATGGAATATTTTAGGAATATTTTACATTCCATTTGCAGTTCATTCTTCAAAAGCAAAACCTGCTCTTCAGTTTCCAAGTGAGCTCTGCTGAGACGAAGATACAACTGAAAAGTCTGATCCCTGTGTATTATTATTATTATTCAGTATTTCCAATTAAAACAATGGAAAGTCAATTTAGAATGTTACTCTTTTTCTGTATGATTTTTATTATAGAATTATTAAAGAAATTCTAGTAGTATTTATAACATTGCCCAAAACATAATACCATTTGACCTATTATAGGTCAACAAAACCTTCAGCCTACTAAGCCATTCGTTTTTGACACAAATATGTGTGTTGATACTTTTTACTCTCAATCTAGACATAAATAATTTCTTAGGAATCTGAACAATACCTTTGTAGTATAACTTAATAGTCTTTGGTGCACCTATAGATAACTTTGGCTTCTGAATGGTATAATTTTTGATTGGGAGTTACCTTACTATTTGTGCATCTTCTGTGAAAACAATAACAAACTTAACCCATAATTAGAATTTGTTGGATCACTTTGAGAAATAAGATTTAATTATTCATCTGAAACTTAAGGGTAATGGTCAACAGGCTGATTAAACTATAATGTTACCTTTTCTGACATCAACAGAATATCACTCCAGGATAACAGTCATAAGTGAAAATAAGTAATACTAAAAGTTAATAGAAAGATCAGAGATTGATGTATTCAAACACATATTTGACTACTTTGATACTTTCTTCACAGATGACACTGCTAATTATAAGAGCAGACAGCTGTACATGGAAACTGCAGAGGGAAGAAGCTACTATTAATTTTTATATTAGAAGTACTTTGAAGTAAACAAAGAGATCACAGTTTTACTGGCCAGTGAATACTAAACAAATATAAAATTTGTTCCTACCAAAGAAGACTGTTGCAATCTAGGAATATTTTTTTTTTTAACTTTTGCAGTCCACTGCCAGGCAAGTGTACCCCATTACATAAAAGAAGAGATTCTTTTATTCCACTTTGGCCACCTAAATTCGAATGACAAGCTAGTGGCATCAACAAAAAAACCCCAAACATTAGGGCCACTTGCTAGTACCAAGGCAAAATAAAAACCAGCAAGATACCTGATAAACTGTAGTAACAGTTCTTCCTCTGTTTTCTTATTCCATGCATTTCTACTGGGATTTTAAAGTTGCTAGTATTTTCTGGTACTTACCAACGTGACACTATGGAAACACATTCATGCCATAAGGTTCTTACATTCAGTTTCATTCCACTCTATTAACTTACTCTGAAAGCTGCCTCTGCTTTATTTCCGGCCTGTTTCCCCAGCTAAGATGAACATGTATCTGTATCTAACTCTCCTAAAGGGCACTATTTTGTTCTAGAGCAGAAATGGCGCTAGGCATCACAAACAAATAAAAAAAAGCCAAACAAAAACCACGTGCTCTCACACCACATGCCCCCCAGTTCTAGTATCCTGAATCTTGCCCACCTGGAAACCTACTGTCCGACCATCGCTTTCATGATGGTAGCTCTGTTTTTTTACGGAATCTCTTCGCCAGCCCCCTCTGGACAGTACGACTACACAGGGCTGCCTCGGACAGGGTCCCTGCAGTCTCCTTACCACCTCAGGCATGAAGGGAAGTTTTAATGATGTCTAATTATATTTAATAGCTTGCAGCGGCATGTAGCTTAGTGCTTCTGTCTACATAACTACACATTATTTCTACGAGTACATTTGTATTTTTTCTCTTTCAGACTCTTGCTGTTCACATCCTTCCCTATTACCATTGAATACTTTTCTATTTGTTACATCCTCATAAGCATTCTAGACTTTAAATCATTTTTTTCAGCCTCATACTGTTTCCTCTAACTTTTTAATTCAGACAGCTGGGGGGTGAGGGTGTGGAATTTAGCAAAAGAACATTATGTTAGTATTAGCAGATCTCTGAAGCCACCAGCTGAGCCATTCTCTCAGAGTGGTAATTCCTTCCAACTATTAGCATCCCTAACTCAATCTCTCACTTCCTACTTTACTTTCTATGACCGTTTCCCACCACACGGAAAACGGCCTTTAAAACCTTATCGGTGCTCTGGACAGGTTTACGCTTTGTGTCGAGGGACGTTTCTCCCTCTGCAGCCCGAAGCGAGGCCCGCCTCTGCAGCGGGGCACCCCGTCACTCACCTGGCTCTAAAGATCATGATAAAATGAAACAAACGACCCAAACCCTGCAGTTCCCGATGCCCCCTCCAATACCGAAAGGTTGTTGCCCACCCCCCCGCTCCCACGCGCGGCGGCCCCGCCCTTGGCCCGCGCTCCCTCGCGCCGTTCGCCCACACGGGGGAGCCGGCCGCGCGCGCTAAGCCCCCGGCCCCGCTCCTCATTAAAGCAAGATACGAAATCAAGGCTTTCTCAGCCGCGCTGGATGCTGGCGGCTGCCGCAGGGTTCAAACGCGATCGCCTCGTAATCCTGCATGAATTACACAAAACACGAGCTCCCGCGGCGGCGCGCTGAGGCCAGGATGTCTGTCTGTCTGTCTGTCTGCCTGCCTGAGCGCGGGGCCTCTCGAGACATCAAACTCTTGGCGCCCCGTCAGCTGCAGATAACTTGGAGACACTTCCTGTTTATGGGTAATAACTGTGCTCGGGACTAAACGAAGCCTCCAGCCGAGGAAGCCGTGCACGTTAGCGCGCAGTCTGGTTCCTCCTCGCAGTCACAGACACGCTCACGCAACTCTCACGGTCGAACGTAGAACAACTCACTGTTTTTGCGCTACCTGGCGATTATAAACCATGCCTGCGGGGTTTTCGCTAAGCGGGGAGGAAGAGGCGAGCAGCAGCAGCAGCGGCGGCGGCGGCTCAGCGGCCGGGCGCGGCGGGCGCGCGGGCGCAGCGCGCGGTGACAGGTGCCATCTTCCCGGCGGCGCGAGGCCCCCGGCGCCCGCCAGCCCCGCCGCGGCGCGCGGCCCGCGGCCGGCAGCAGCAGGGCGCAGCAGCCATTTTGCTCCGATAATCCCCGGTAATCAGATTTGCCTGTGGCTTGTGAAATGCGGGCTGGTTCCAGCGCCCCGGCTCGCCTTCCTCCTCGGCTGGCGGCTGCGTTATTTTTTTTTTTTTTTCTTTTTTTTTTTCACGTGCTTATTTCACAGCAAATGCGTTGTGCTTAATTAACGCAGCCAGCTGGGGTACGGAGCGTATCGGACAAGTTGTTTATATGCAAGGACTGTAAATTTAGAAAAATGAGGAAATCCAGTGTGCCCTATATCCAACCCCTCCCTCCATGGTCATCGGTCCAGTTTTGTCCACATCGTTTAGAATTCCTCCTAAACAGAACAAAAGGATTTTTATTGCCTTTCTTTCTCTCTTTCAAAGCCTTTTCCATAGGGAGAAAGCATTTGCGGAGGTACGTAGTCCCGTTCAGAACTCCTGCAAGTTCTCACTAAAAAGGACAGATTAAGTACTTCCTTGAAAAATCAGTATCTGGAATAAATTACATTTGTTACTGAAGCCTAGTCACATTTACTTTATTTTCCTTACCTGTTTATATATATATTGTTTTAAGTATATACAGAAACTCATACAGTATCATGAGGATGTTTATTTTCAAATTTCGGTTTCTTCAGATTATTTACTGCCTCAGGAAACAAACACAACAATACTATTACTGCTTCATAACCACTAACAAATGCTTAGCTTCACTTCATTTAACCAGATGCTCCAATATATTTGGTACAGTCTTACTATATATTCTCTCTCTCTGCCTCCCACTTTACATAGTTAGCAAAACCTGTTTTTCCAGTACTTGGAATCATAAAGTTTAGAGAAAAACAGCTTTGAGACAGATGGAAAACACTGTTGGAAAAACGTGACAATTTGCTTTTGTCTTAAAGCTTGCTTGAAAAAACTAATTTTGCCTAAGACTAACCTGTGTTCATTTTTACATGTTATATTGTATGAGGTTTTGCTGGACAGTTTACTTCGTTTTCAAATATTAAGCCTATGCCTTAGGAGCACTGAATAGTAGGAACCAGTTCCTTTTAAACAAAATCCAGAAGCATAAACAATTTCACAATTGTCACCCTTGATGGGCCTGGATGTTAGAACTTTGCTAGAGCTCCTTCATGATAAATGCTGCTTATCTGAGAAAACTGTATCAACTTAATATACACTATTATAAGGAGGGGAGGTCTTTTTCCCAGCAATTCTGCCTTGGAACTATCATATGCTTTCCTGGTTGTTTAAAAGATATGGAAATAAATTTATTCTTGTCAGGAAATTGTTGTAATTTAACACTCGTGTACATCCCTCTTCTTTAACTATTTTACACAATCCACATTAAAAAACATCTTAGAAATACTGAACATCTCTGTGGAGAGTTAATTACTGCTTCTGGATCACTGGAATTCTTACAAATAAATTTGTGTACTGAAGCAATAAGTATCTTTTTAGCTTTGGACTCTATGCTACCAAAAAATAGTTTCTTTCATCTCATGACAAACTGCTGTTCTTATCAGTAGCTGTTTACCAACAGCTATGGGAGGTGGAACAGTTGAAGAACACAGCAATATGGATTGCAAAAGCAAAGTGTGTCCCAAAGTTTTCACAACCTTATTTTTTATTCCAACCTAACTAAGAAGCAGAGTTTCATAACTCACATGTAGGTTACTTTTAAACATGGACTTTGTCTATTGCTTATCTACTGTTGTTTCTTTAATATTGTTCTAGGTGCATATATGTAATATATATATAAATAAAGATTTCTGACACAAGTCTCATAAGAAGTGCTTGTGACAAATGTGTTGTCCGTAACAATGCAATAATATGGATTAAATTAAACCTGTTGTAATCCTTTAAAGAAAGAAATGCATTAGTGAGCAGCAGCAAGGCAAGCAACAATAAATACAAGTATCTTTTTAGATTACATGAAACATTTAAGGAAGATAAGGTTATGAATTCCTCCTAAATCTTAAGTAAAATTGGTTATTTAAAATTGTTTTGAAAATCAGAGGCATAACCATCATTTGTATAGCAGATACATTTGATGCTCTGGCAGTCTTAATATCTATAGACAATGTAATAGATGTGGAGAAAACGGACTTTTTTTTTTTTTTTTTTTTTTTTTTAGTTGATAGGGTGTTTTCTTAAGGCAATTTCAGCTCATCCACTAAAAAAATAAAAATTTTTCTGTGACTAGTATTTTAATTGAAGGTGCTAATTTCCATTTATATATAAATAGTATGAGCTATTTGAAATTCACAGTCCCAGCATCTCCTGGTGTATTAAAAATACTCTTCAGAGTAAGAAATTCTTTATAAGGCCATCTTAGCCGCACCCAGGATGTTACATTCTCATTATAATGTTTCATGTAGAACCAATTGCATGAAAAGAAAATGGAGGAACTGGTGCTGTAGTCAGACCTATGTGAATGGACTGGCACTGGTATCTGTGGGAAGTTGGACAAGATTTATCTGCATCTGCAGTCCTGATTTCAGGGTATAAGCCACAGTAAAAATTACACACTTTAAAAATAGCAACCTTGCTAGCGTATGTGTACCAATTCCCACTAGACATATAAATGATTGCACATAACATCACACAAATATGTTATTTTAAAATAGAGTCCAAGTAGTTTATCAGTGGATTACTTATGTGGTGAAATTGCAAGATACAGAGAAAATCATCAGCAAACTTTTACTCCTTTAAAATGTATAAAACAGTTCCAGCGTTACTGAAGTGGTGCTGTTTGGATGCTTTGCTGAGGTCTGATAATCTCACTTCTGCAACTCATGGCACATGGTATTCTTTCCTTAAGAGTATTTCAGACTGCCTAGGGAAAAAAATGTTCCAATGTTCCTCTCTAGTCAAGCAGTTTCAGTTCTTAAACAACAGCAGGAAACAACATATATAGCATTACCAACTCTTGCAAATTCCTCATGAGTGTCAGGATTTTGGTCAGGGCTTGACTGGTTTCCTTCTTGGTGCCTAGCGCAGGCCAGCCTGTCCGTGAGGAAAGCGCTTGGGTGGACTGTCTTCACTGCTCTCACTGCTGAGGTCAAAGCAGCCACTGGTGCTGCTGAGAAGGAAAACACAGCTCCTCTTCCCCCTCAGGCAGGCCAGCACTTCACTCAGAAGTGGGGCGCAAGAAGGACCCAGCAGCCTAAAGTGGCTTCACACCCCTTTCTGTTACATGAGCAAGGGAAAGAGTTCCTTTGTGTAGCCCTTCTCCTCGAGCATCATGTGGAGGGGAAGGCGCACAGGCATGGAGACCTGCTGCCTGCTCTTTGGTGCATGAGCTGTGCACGTGCACCAAAGAAAGCCTTTATCCAAGGTGTGTGGCCTTCTTAGAATTTAGGCATGGCCTAATGTGAGTCCTGTTAACACTAAACAAAAGACATGCAAGCAATTTTTAAAGGTATAACTATACCTTTGTCTCTCCACCAGTCTAAATAAGAAAATGAAGCAACAGCAGTAAGTGACATAAATCCAAATTCTTCTTTTGCACACAGTACAAAAGCTTATATTGTACTGCTACTAAGAATCAGCTGACTTTACATCTTGCTATCTCTGAACAATCTCAGTATTATTTTCCATTTAAGTCTTTATGCTGGTTTCAGCTGGGATAGAGTTATTTTTCTTTTAGCAGCTGGTACAGTGCTCTGTTTTGGATTTAGTGTGGGAATAATGCTGATAACACACTGATGTTTTAGTTGTTGCTAAGTACTGCTTATCCTAAATTCAGGATTTTTCAGTTTCCCATGCTCTGCCAGGGTGTGGGTGCACAAGAAGCTGGGAGGGAGAATGGCCAGGACAGCTGACCCCAGCTAGCCAAAGGGATATTCCATAGCATAGGACATCATGCTCAGTACAGAAACTGAGGGAGTTAGTCAGGAGGGACAGATCACTGCTCAGGGACTGTCTGTGTATCAGTCAGCAGGTGGTGAGCAATTACATTAATTATGTTCTGCATTACTTGTTTCACTTGAGTTTGGGTGGTAGTTTGGGGTTTTTTTTCTCCCTTTGGTTTTATTTCTGTTATATCCCTTTCCATTACAACTATTATTATATGTATTATTATTGTTATTATATTTGAAAATTTTAGTTATTAAACTGTTCTTAACATATGAGGGTTTTTTTCCTCAATTTCCCTCCCCATCCCACTGTTGGGAGGGAGGAGAGAGCAAGGGGCTGTGTGGTGCTCAGTTGCCATCTAGGCCTAAACCACAACAGCCTTTCATTTCTTTATGTGCTGCTGACAAGCCACTTCCTAGCCTCCTACACTTCTGGGACATACCACAGTCCTTAGCTAGCATAGATCAACTGCAATCATGAAGCTCTGTTTACAGACAGAGTGACAAGAAGACACATTTTTCTGTTTTAACTGTTGTCAAATATAATTTATATATTTGAATAGCTTTAAACAAAAGTAACAGATCAAACATTTAATTTTTGTTAATTTTTGACAATTACTACATGGTATTGTGATGCCCATTCAGTTATCAGAAAGACAAAATAAAAGTCGTTGAATCTAGCTTCTCAATTTCCAATTCTCAGAGGAAAAATCCTTTGACTATCTGAACCACTGTCCACAAAAGCAGCAGCCAAGCTGCACGCTCAGCGGCTGCTGCTACTCCCAGTCAGGTGTGCTGGGGGCCAGGCCAACGCAGCCATTCCTGCCCTTTCCTACAGCTAATCTAGCAAATCATGCTAGACTGAAAATAGAGCTAAATCCCTTCCCCTGGAAACACCTGATCTAGTTGATCTGCTAGATGGCTGGACACAGCCATTTTGAAAGCTAGAACTGGTCTTCAAGCTGTTAACTGGCCACCACTGATCTCCAGTATTCCTTAAAATTTTGCAATATATTTTTATGTTTTTGCTGTTATATTGGTAAACTTTAGCATGCCAAAAACAATGCACAAGTGATGGCTCTTGCTCTGAATCATTGCTTTAGTGTGGCCATTTATTATGACAACTTACTGGACACACAATTACTTTGGCTATATGCTCTTGAATATTCTTATGCTCCATTTTGGGCTGGCCTAAGTGGCCCGGCCCAAGCCCTACTCCTCCTCTTCCATCCTGCTGCACGTTTCCAACCTAAAAGCTATACCAGGGCCTCTACTCATGCAGTGGAGAAAGACTCTAGCAAAAGCAGGTAGCAGCTATCAGGAAGAAGAAAATCTTGATGACTCCAGCTCTGGTTTATGCTGCACCACCAATGTGAATTACCCCAGGCACAAATCCTGGCCTGACCCTGAGCTCAGCTCAGATGGGGAGCAGCAAATAATAAAAAGAAAAAAAATCAGCTGACTTACATCTCCCTAATAATTTCCCAATCTCATTCACTCAAAAGCATGATGGTATGTTATAACATTGTTTATGGTTCAGGATCATGAAAACATTCATGTGATAGTGTTCAAAGTATCTGGAATTAATACTAGATTCTGGTACACTTGACTGTTGAGAGTTATGGAAATGTTTAACATTGTCAGGATAATCTTTATTTGCTAAATCTCACTGTTATGTACAAAGCCACCTCTCATTGCACACTCCAAAAAAAGTCAATGGGAATCTTTTTATTGATTTCAAGGGGGTTTTAATTAGGCTATTGATCACATAAACAACTTCTCAGATTACACCAACTGCATTTAAGATCTGGATTTTCAGATTCCCATTTTTCCTGTCTTTTTAATGATTAGCATTTTAGACTTATTTCTTAAGGACATATATAATCCTGGGATAACATAGTTAACTTGAAGGTTTGTATATGCCTTCCATTTTATATACAACATAATACTTGAAGAAAGGCCAAAAATAACCTGTACATAAACTTGCTGAAGTCAGTAAACAAATTTGTCAAAACTAATCTTATATATCTGAGCTTCTTTTACATCCAGGAATGTAAACCAAAATACTACTATACAAACACCTGCCCAGAAAGAGCGAGTACTGCCTCAACACTACATCCAAATCTTATTCTGAAAGTCCATGAACAACGGCCATTTTGACTTCTACAGTTTTTTCTCCCCCCTGCTTTTTTCTGTTGTTGGCTGTTAGAAAACAACACTTGGTCATATCCCTTTGCCTGGAAACGCTGAATAGAATGAGAGTGCTACAAGCAACACCAGTTTCATTTTTATTTAGTGGCTCTAGTTTGTCACTGTGTACAACAGTATAATCATACTTACTTCTGAATGCTGGTGCAAGATTCAAATTCAGAATGACTCAGGCATTTCTGAAAGACACTGTAAACCTTCATCTCCATTCATATTTTGTTGTCTTAAAGCAATGCTATAAGTATTCAGAATCTTGGAGAAAGGTTTCCATTTGCAGACCAAGGCTACCATGCCACTTTTGTCCAGTTATTGCAAGTCCAATTTAAAGTGTGATGAAAAAAAATAAGAGATATTTCCATTGAAAACATGATGTTTTTAGGTTAAAAACTTTGAGTATAAAGAATCCATATTGGGCCATGTCCAGAAACCTTTTAAATGGTGATTTTCAAGATGCATGCATTATTGTGAGCACATGGTATGTAAATGCATTGGGCTGCTTAATAAGCATTCACTGACACACATCTGCAGCTTTGCTAATGTACCTTTTATTCGTATGTGGTTGCCAAGGAAACAGGTTATAGCCCAGTATTCTATCTAAAATATACTGAGCAAGTGTTCTATGATAATTTACTTAAATAGGTACAACTTAGATTTTGTAGCCCATTGCTTCTGTAAGTCCAGGTAACCTGAATTTATCTAATTTTAATGTTTCTCTGATTAGTTTAAACCAATGCCATCTTATTGTCTCTGAAAATCCATTACAATTTTCTGCATCATACAACATTGTGTATTAAATGTAAATTTAAATATAGAAAACATTTTGAGATACTCTAGGAATTGAAGAGGTTTTGGGTTTTGTTTTGGTTTTGTTTTTTAAATTTGGTTCCTTATCTTACATCCTGCCTGGTAGCCTTAATTACTTATTTCTGCTTAGTGATATCACAGCATTAATGACTATGGTGCAACAAACTATTTCCTGCAGAAATTTGTGCAAATAGTGCCACTGAAATCAATGAAACTACTCCCTTTCTGTAACGCGAATTATACTCTACGATACAAAGAACCATATTCAAAATTAATGAATTAATCAGGATTTCACTCATTCTTTCATTCAGTACATACATATCTCAAATCTAATGCACGGATACCACACAATTTATTTTAACCAAGATGACTATTGCACATTCACAGTAAGAAGAAAGCAAACTGCTAATATTTGAAAAAGCCACGCAAAATGTGAAACTCTTATTTTGAAATATCCTGATCATTTATCACAATACTATACTTGAATTTACAAAGTGATCTTTGCAGCTCATGATTCGAGAGGTTTTTACTACCCCAACTGCAGTCATGTATAAAGGTAGAGATCAGATAAACTATACACAGCTTAACCAAAACAACAATATTAGAAATGGGCATTGGCACTAAGGGAGTTCCTCTACCTCTACTGATTGGCACGGATTTGTAACCAACACTAGTGACTGGGATCCAGAGTTCACATTCTGGCAAGCTCAGGAGGTTTGCCTGCCTGCCAATATGTTTGGTTTGTACAGACCACTGGAGGCTGTAACAACCTGTTTCAGAGATCTGTTCTGCCTGATTTTGTTTGTCCAACCTCTGTGGCAATAAAAATCCAGTGGGAGCTGGAAAAGTCCAACAATATTGACACGAGAATAGAGCAATGTGGTACCATAGCGAGAACAACCCTTACAATATTATTTAAAAAAGATAGAACTAAAAAAAAAAAAAATCACATAATGCAGTGGTTTTAAAGTATTAAATATTTTAGCACTGTTTCTATTGAGTTTTAAGGAGATTTCAGCTTGCTACAATCACCCCATGAACTTACCCACCTAAAATCAGGTTGTTCTTCTGTTAGAGTCTTTTAAATGTGGTATCAACAGGTATTTTCGGCAAAACCATCTCAGTAATTTTGTGAACTTTGTGGCTACTGTGTATCAGCCTGCAAAGGGGAAAATCCAAATTTAATCACTAAATTATTAGATAAATACTAATTTCCAGATACATTGTAGAATTCATAAAAATTTTCCCTGGAGTGCTGTAGGACTCCAAATCTACATTGGGGAGGCTTACAAAACATCATCAATAAAACAATACCATTAACCAAACAGTTGTGAATACTACTTCTGCCTGCATTGTTTTATTATGGTTTAACCCGTGTAGTGCAAACTGGACATAATGTTTCATAGTAAGTTCTAGACAGAAATGTAAGAACAGTTTCAAGTTTAAAATAATTTTTCACTGGGGTCACTGGAAAAATCAGGGTAAAAACAATCATTGCCTCTACTTCCCTTCCCCCACTTCAACTATATCTAAATTATTCCTTACACATTTACTTAATCAGATGTCAATAATGGAGGCTTCACAGCTTCCTCAGTTAGTCTGCTCCTGAGTTTCACTAAGTCAAGTCAGTGGAAAAGCAAGTGTATTTTAAGATTAGCTTCACAGTTTGCCAGTTTAGAAAACAAACCATGGTACAGGGAGAAACAATCACCATTGATAGCCAACTCCCTTGACTCCACATAAACTGCTGAAACCAATTACAAGTTATCCTTTATCTTCAAAGCCTTAATCTTTTTTTTTTTCCTGCAGTCTCTCAAAAGGCCTTTTCTTTCTCTTCTTTCTATTCTGCCACTTTTCTTTTGGTCTCTTCTGTCACAGATGTCATTGCAGTACTCTGTGATAATGACATTTTTAGGCATTTCTTGTTCTCTGGAATACACTTCCTGTATCTCTGCTTAAATGATTATTCATTGTCAAACATCCTGATTTTATGTTATTATGTATCAAACATCCTAATAAGGTTATTGTGTAATAGTGTAAAAATTATTCAGAACAGGGCTTTGTTTTAAAGATACTAAACAAAATTAAATTGTTCCATAGAGCAACTGCAAAATCTTACTGATTAGGCCTTATGACTCAGCTGATAGACATTTATATAGCAGTAATTAAGAATACACAGATCCATCTTTCATTCGCAAATATACCATATAGTTTTAAAAATAGCATTATACAGGAAATACAGGATCCATTACTTTGGCTTTAAAAGGTAAGAAGGTGAGCTAATTTTTTTGGTTGGCTTAGCTAAGTATGTTTGTAGTATATCCTGATTTGAGTAAGTATTCTATAGCTCACACCTGCCTGTAACAAAGGCCTGAAGGAAAGAAAATTGCATCAAGCCATTATTATTGCTTCAAATACCAATAAAATTGTATTCACAAATGACTGAAATATTATGGTGAATGGGAAGCCAAAACATCACATTTGGAGGAATCCAGCAGTAAAAGATCTTACCAAAGCTAAAGAATTCCCAAATTTGATAATAAAAGCTTTTGAATTCTATTCAAAAGTAATATTACACATAATAAAGCAAATCACATGATAAAGTACAAGAGACACTAGATGCCCCGAAAGGGTTAATTGGTACCCGTTCATTACTACCAGAGTCTGTCTAACAGTCTGACGAATATTATCCGAACACATAGTTTCACACTGAGAGACCTGCAGTTTCAAATCAAAATTAAGTTTAGAGGCAGAAATAACCTCAATCAGAAAGGTCATTGAAAAGCAAGTAGGATAGTGTCTGAGTGAATGATACGTAGTTGTATTTAATTTTTATTCATGCGTTGTATAGATATTCTGGTAGGCAGAAATGGAATTCGCATGGATAAAAGAACACATTTCAATTATAAAAGGGAGGACTCAGTATCAACAATTAGACTTCTATGATAAAACTGAAAAAACCCACAAGCCCCCATAACAATAACATCTGCAGGCTGTGCTGGAGGTGTGAAAAACTGCACCTGCTCCTACGTGCCCCCTTAGCCAAAGAGAGTAAAATGGATGAAGTTTACACAAGATTTCTTATGGCACCTCTGGCTATAACATTCTGACACTCTGCATTAGCTAGATGTAACTACCATTAAAATACATACAGCAACCCACGTATAATAGTTAAATTGGAAACAGCTTACTAATTACCAGACTCCTCCGTAATAAATACATCGGTTTCTTTAGCTAGAAGAAATTACCCTTCACAGGCTGCCAATGAGTTTTTCCCGACTCATGAAAGCACTTGAGTTCAGTCATATTAATTACAAGAGGACTTGCACCCCCTAACAAAAGAGCAAATTTACAAATGGATTTAAAACAACCATAGCAAAGCATGCTCATGTAACAGAGCTACGCTTTTTAAAAATGTCTTGAGTGGGTATGTTTGAACACAAAGACATAAAAACAGTTTATCGCTAAGTGCCCCATCTTTTCTAAAGATAAATATCAGCAGCAATAAATAGATTGCTTCTACATAGCGTTTGCTCAGCAACTTCCTTTAAAAATAACCACAGAAGAAATAAACAAAGAAATGCAATTTTGATAACTACACGTAATGCTGCACTCCGTATTAACGTTTCAGATACTAAAATAATCAGCAGAAGCAAGCTACTGGAGATAAATCAAATTACAGAAAAATGCAAACTTTAATATGTCACTTGAGAGATGCTGTTTATTACATTTTCAGTTCTGCTTCTTTAGGTGGAACAAGGGAACACTGCACTCTGTCAAACTAATCTCATAATTATGAATCAAATGGTTTTATTATCATTATTAAGCATTGGCCTATCAAGACAAGTCATATTCCTGAACAGTTACACTCTATTTATTTGGAATGCACTGAACTGAAATATTTAGAAATAAATGAGAATTGGTTTGATATTACTGACACTGTCAAGGCTATTATTGATAATTGGCTGTGCTGATAAATACCTCCTCTGCATTCATTTTCAGTGCTGGGTCCTCATCCACACAAAATATACTTAGTCATTTTAAAGTCAAGGACATGAAAGGAAAATGGCTACCCTGCTGCAAAAGTCTCATTGCAGTAGTGAGAATTTCTCAAGTCATGTACAGAGGAGATTCACAAGGAGATACACTACGTTATAAGCTCAGTGGAGACGTTTGGTAACATCTGATTCAGTATAAGCAGTTACCTGTGGTACATACACGATTTAACTTATGCTGTTAAAAATATTAGCTAAAAATAGAAATAAGGAGTTCTGATACTTCAATTTTGCAAAATCAATAGGGTCTTCAGATTACCGCAGACCACAAGTGAGCTTGTTCTATAAAGGCTTGTTTAAGATCCAACAGAAGTTCTTTTCCAGTATGCTTAAACACAGTTCTTTACCTGAACTTCAGAAAGGGTCCACTGTATATAGAAAGGTTTATTAGCATTACTGTGGCTGAATTCAGCAAAGGTGAAAGAAGGTTTAAACATACTTCTGATTCTCTACATTTATCAGCTGTTAAATATTTCAGTGATACTTTTATACTTGTGATAATGAAACTATCACTTTATATACACACAGTACAAACCTTGACCTACATGCAAGACAAGGCTAAATTAAAAAAAGAAACTGGGGTACATTTCTGGAAACAAACAATGCAAAACAGGAATAAAACAGTTTTTTTGCTGTGTACAGCTTTATAAACATGGCATCGTTTAAGAAATGATAGCCGCATGGAAACATAAAATGAGATCAGATTCTCATTTAGAACTGAAAGGAAACAACTGCAAAATTTCCATTTGCATTGTGATATTGCTATTAAAGAGAATAACATCTTTCTACATCTCTACTATTGCACCTTTTAAAAGGATTTGGTTGCCAAGGAAACTGGTTCTGGCCCAGTATTAATCTGAAACAAATATATTACAAAAGTTGGTGTAAGTAATACAATACTCATAATTCTTTTTATTATTAATGCTCAAATTCAGGTCTTTGTACCTAAGGCTGTTAAGTTTTTATTTCATAACCTTTTTTGTGTGAACTAAAACACACTTCAGTGAACTGATACTCAGTTTAAGCTGACAGGGCCATCTATATCAATCTCTCTCTTTAAAGTCCTTCTACCTTAAAATAAGAAGAAATACTGCAGGTTTGTCTTTGTAGCTAATAGTGAAAATATTAAAATATGCATTAAAGCATATTAACCTTTATTTAAGATTTCGCACAAAACACAAAACCGCTTACGACAGAATTTAAATATTTTTCATTTTTCTTATCTACCTCAATTTTTATTTTTGCTTTTTAACTGGAAGCTTAGTAATGCTTATAGTCAGCTTTAAAATGTAGTTGAATCAATAGGGTTTTCAAAAATTCTTTTGTTGCATAAGCGTTGCCACGCCCTTAGTACATATGATTATTTTAACAGACATGATTGCTCTACTTTCACAATTGATTTTTTAAAAACAGATAGGAATGATTGTCATGCCAGTATGTGAACCCAACAGTTTAATATTCGGTTGTTTTCATTAACAGTTTAATACATTTTTTAACTGAAAGCTACATTCCAAAGCCCATTTCATGTTCTTGCAACACTGACCGAGAAATCAGTAAAACATGCAAATCTCAACCTACCTGCGTGCACCACTTAGTGCAGTGTTAGCATGGCAATGCACCCAGCCATTTTTATGTAAAGCGATGGAGATAAGTTCTATTCTTGGTCTTCTTGATAATTTTTTAGAAGCAGTTGTCAAAAATCAGATGGGAAGCAGCTTGAATAGACCGTGATCAGGAGAACCGAGTTTATCAATAGGGAAAGCAGGAGTGGGGAAAAAAAAATGTCCTCATCCAAGGTTTTCCGAAACTGCAACACAAGGTTGTTTTTTTTTTTTTCTCTCCTCCTCAGAGGGTTCAAAGCTTGAAGCTGACCACTGCAAAGGCCACTTGTCACATTTACTGAAAATCAGCCTATTGATATCACAGCTGAAAATATAAACTCAACAACCAAAGCCCATTGCACAACGTGGACTGCGTAAGAGTTAAAAATAGATTCGACGTGCCTCCTACCTGCATAATAAAGATGTAATTTTCAAGTGCTTTAATTCGATATTCACATTAATTAACAATACAATATACATTATTTAAACTACAGTAAACGCAAGAAGAAAAAGGGTGACACCATCTGGAAGCACAGTTTGCTTTTTTTTTTTTTTTTTTTTCCCTTTCCAAGGGCTAATAATGTAGTTTGAATGTGATGACAAGCTAACAGCTCACCACATTGCAAATGAAAAAAGAATTCTTAAGGTGATGCTCAAATATCTAAGCCTGTAATGAAGCACAAACCAGTCTTCACTCCTGCATGACATGGCACACAGACCATTTACATACTCACATTTGAAATACTAGGCACAGTATAATGAATTCAATACACAGCATGCACACAGCACAAGCAACGTTAATCCTGCCTGCCATTTTAGGCTTGCAGGAGTAAGATACATACTGCAGCACAGCTCTGGTAAGGGAGGAGGCAAGGGACAGCTCACCTTAAATGCAGTATCTGATTAATGTTGTAAGTGACATTGCGTATCAGCTACAGAGTCTTGGTTCAACTGGGTGGGAGGGAACAAAGAAAATTGTCATCAACTGGTGATGCAAGATGAGCTCCAGTCACTAACACTGTTAGCAAACTCCAAATTCTACAGTGATATAGTAGTAGGAATTTCAAACTCTTATCAAAATCTGCGTGTGCAATGGCTGAGTCCACCTGCCGAGGAAAAACAAAACAATCTTCTTGCTTATTGGAGAAACGCTGGATTGACTACAGTAACATCCTCTTGATGCAGAAGGATTTCACGTCGCACATATTAAATCCTGGATGCATTTGCTGTGCTTTCCTAATTTTTAAGTCTCACAGTTAAAAAATAAAATAAAAAGACAATGACAGCAAAAATAGCATAACTAAAGGTCTAATGTTCATACAAGTAAGACATTTTTTTCTTTCCTTTCTGTTTTCTCTCTTTTACAGTCCATCAAAATCCTGAGCAGTATTGACAAACCACACGAGCACAGGGTCTGACTGCATGATCAGCTGTCTGTGTCTACGCTACACCCTGTTAACCACAAGCAGTGTTAGAGCTAAATATATCTGCAATGCAGAAACAGTAGGTGCTATGTGGTATACAATTCTGATTAATTATAAAATATTTTCCTACCCTCAGATATAATAAATAAAAGAAAATTTGGTGCTGATCTCTGTCAGGCACGGTATCTGTCAGACTTACAGAACATAAAAGCTATCCTAAGTATACTGACCTAGATAGCACTAAGAAGACTTAAGCAGCATACAAGCATACTCACTGTCAAAGCAAGGAAAGCGAAACAATGATTGTCTAATCAAACTGAAAGCAACAACTCACTTCCACGGTATGAATTCCAAAATGCTACGTACTGTATATGCACATCTCATGTTATTGGAAGATGCAAAGCTCCTTTGTTTTTTTTTTTTTCTCAGAGGCTTTTCTTAGCTACGGTTGCACAATGACATTCTGACATCATGGAGGTCAATGCAGATACTAAAGTGCTGTCGTCTTTAAGAAAAAAAAAATTGAAATATTAAACCACAGCTGCAGAAGTAATAATAATAATTAAAAATTTCACATCACCTACTTAACATCTTCCTGCTACCTTTCTAGATTAATAAATAGCATGCACATTGTTCAGCCACATACGTTAAATTGGTATCACCCTCTGCAGAGACTGCAAGCCTAATTGTGGGAAGTAGATTTTTATAAATGTTAAAAAAAGGCTTATTTGCTGAAAAACTTCAAAATACAATAAAATATTTTGCATATATAATGAAAAATTTACAGAGAAAAAAGCATGAAAAACTGCTTATCTGTATTTTTAAAAAAATGCCTATGAAGCAAAACTGGTTTTATTTTCATTGTCACCATGTCTCCAAAGGGAGAACGAGAGAACCGTACTGCAGTTTACTATAACCTGAATTACCTTCCCAGAAGGCTAAACCATCAGGTGAAGTAAAATAAAACATAAGATCTACCTGTTTAGAGAGCAGAACCCCCCCCCCAGCACTATTTCAGTGACTTCTCACAGATTCCTATCTCTCTACCTGCAAATACCGCAAGCTGATACCCAACACATAAACAGAATTGTCAAGATGAATGAATTACATCTGAAAATATTTCCCTGGAAGATTTCTTAGGTAAATATTGTTTACCATATGTGTAAGTGAATATAAATAATTTCTGGCCAACTGCTGAAATAAATAGATCCTTGTGAGGCTACATTTGTACAGAGAAGCGCTATCTTTCATTCAACCTGCCAATACAGCTGAGAAAGAAAGCAGCCAAATTTTCATCCACATATCCTTTCTCTAGGAACCTGTGTACCCTGTGATTTTTCTTTTTTTCTAAAAGAGCACCTGCTTTTAAAAGTGAAAACTAATACCAAGTATTGTGTTAAATCAGAAAATGTTGCAATGCAACAACTAGACTGCTGTATGTACGTATTCACTTCTTGTAAAAACCAAACAATCTGGTTTTGGTTTTGTTTTGTTTTGTTTTGTTTTTTTCCCCTATTCTTTCTTTTTTAATGATTAAACAGGTATCTATTTAATTTGGAGGTTTTTCTTTGGGAAGTTATTTGGCATTTTGTTCTCTTTCATTTTAAAGCCTGGGAATGAGATGATCCTAACAGTCAGTGCTTTAAAATATTCAGAATCCCCTTCCATAAATAGCACATCTGTCACACAGAAAGGGAACCCAGCCAGCAGAAAGGCAGACCAGACCAGCAAAAACAACTGCTATTCCAATACATGATTACGAAGTAAGTTAGGATTTTAGCAACCCTTTATTTGGATTTTTTTGTTTTGACCTTTTTAAACTAAGAGCTCTCTGATTATATACATGCCACCATGTATCAATTTTAAATTAAAAATGTTAAATATGGGTTAATTTTGAGGGTTTTTTAATGTTCATCTCTTAGTCAAATGTATGCAATCAAGCTAGTCATGCCCTGTTTAAAACCATGGCAAGTCTGTAGATTTCAAGAAGAGAAGATTTAGGACTTCTATAGCAGTTTGTTAGGTTTATGAGGAAGTATGATATTACAATTTCAGAACCAAGTGATAGGTTTGTTTAAAGACAATGATTTTCAGCAAAAGACAGATTTCAGCAGAGTCTCACAACAAATATATCTGTTCCTGCATTCCTGAAGTCAGCATTCTCATTCTCCCAGAGAAGTACTATTCTGGGAAAGCCACAGCAAGGTGTTTTGGGTTGTGCGATTTAGGAAATACTAAAAGCCTGCCTGCTGGCAGTGAATGCAGCAGAGGAATAAACATCTCACCCTGAACCAGGGGAGTGAGCCTGCCCAAATCTTTCTGCACACTTCTTGGTTTAATGGGCCATTTTCAGTGCCAACTAATAATTTGCCAGGCTTAGATTTTCCAATGATTTTGCTTCAGCCTCAACATAATTTCAGTCCAGAAATCAGATTCCAGGCCTTCCTACAGCTGTATGATATATGGCACAGTAAATAAATAAATTCAAAAAACTGCACTCATAGGTTGCACAAAGTAGGCCCAAATTTTCAAGGTAGAGGTACACTAGTATTGTCTGTTATTTCTCAGTCAGAAACTTAGATTTAAGCTCTAACCCGATCTGTGCCAAAACTGCTAAAGTCCAAAGGCACTGGCTCTCTTGATTCTTGACTTCAAAATTCCTTGCTTCTGCTGGGTCAGGAACTATCTCAGCCCATGCCACGAGCTTGTATCAATTCTTTATTCAATCAGCTTAAGGTGAGGCCATTTCAAGTATCTTCCCTGGATCTCACAGGCCATTTGTGCTGCAACCTTTCCAACTTTCAAACTTCCTACTTGTAAACATGTTTCCTCTTCCTCTGTTTATCACCACAAGGGCAACAACAATTGGTGAGGAATAAGAAGTCCCAAAGTCACTTTGTATCGCCGCCTCCACCCTGTGGTATATAGTTTCTTAGAGGAAAAGTCCTAGTTCTCCACATTGGTCATTTGGAGAGCAGAAGCAAAAGGAGATAGGGTGTGGAAGGACTCACATAAAGTCTCTAAAACTGTACTGATTTTTGTCTGAAAGTATTGCCACACCTTGTCATCCTTAGAAGGAAATACATGAGGGCAGTCTGATAGACTGGGAACTCTGCCAAGGACCAACCTTGTAGCAGTAAATATCTGGAAGGAAGACTAGAAGACTTTGAGAAAAAAGTGACAAACACTTTCAGTTTTATATGGATCAGCTCACTTCTGTCTTTATTCAACCCAGGCCAAGCCGGAACAAGATATAAATTGCCCCTCTAGCTACGGAAGATATGCTGGATGTGGGAGTTATGCTTGATAATATAATAATGACTGGACAGACATACATATGCTTGGGTTCATTCCCACCTCAGTACTTACATTTGGGTTTTTTAACTGTTTGTCAAGTAAATGAGCAACAAACAGAAAACAAAGGATAGAATCAATCCCAGCCCTCAAGAAACTGTCAACTGTTCTGTGTTACCATCCCTGCAAAGCAATGACAAGGAGACATGAAGCACAGCTGGGAATCCAGGGTGGGTGTTTCCAAAAGTGTGTACCAAAACTGGCTACAGCCTTTCAACAAACCTGCTCTTGGAATGATAGTTTCAACCTCTGAATTTAGCTACATGGATTCTATTTGTCTCTTCATACCTCTAGAGCCATTGCAAAAAAACACATTGTTGATGAATACTCAGTTTGAAATTAGAGTTATTTCGAAAAAGAAAAAACACACCCTTAATCATGAACTAAATTCTCTGATCTAACACTCACGTTCAGGAAAGGACCCATATGCCCAGGCATCCAGGCTAGGAATCATCTCACTGGGCAAATGCTTTCCATCCAAAATCCCACTGCTTACTACTTTCTTCAGTACTGAAACCTCAGCTAGTTGTTGTTGGGCAACAAGGCAGGGAGGGAAGGAGAAAAAAGGACTGATGATAGAACCTCAGCTGTTTGCCATTTCAGAGCCAAAGTAAAGCACGCCCTAGACTTCCATTTGTGCACACATCTAGCTCAAGTTGCCCCAAGGATACAGACTAAATCAGCTGAGTGCTGACAGTTTTCCCAGGCTTTCCCACAATTCCTCTGTGTCTCTGTAGGGCTAAACAAATTTTTCTATTATTTGCTAGGACGGAAAACAGTTGTTCTTAGTTATTCCTATACATGATTTACACACCTTCATTCTTAATTGCCACACTCACATCAAAAATAATATCCAAATGGTCTAAAATGCAAGTTAAAACTCTTGCTATTCCTATCAGATGGGAATGTTTTTCAGCACTACTGAATTAAAAGCAGAGCAGCCTTTAAAGGCAATTCCTCTTATAAAAGGCAAATACTGAGGTTCTACAAAAATAGCAAATATGTAAATGTTGTGAAATGTATTCTGATGTACTGCATTGTATCAGTGAGTTATGAATCTGCATTATGGAAAAGCATGGGCCTGCCTAAACTGAAGAATCACAGACAAGTCATATATTAAGGTGCTGTATATGCTTTTTTGTGAAACATTTCTAACAGCCACTTACAATCTAGTACTCTATAAAATCTTTAAGTATTAGAAGACCTGGGTTTCACTGTAAACAAATGGCAAAGAGAATTTGTTTAAAAACTGTAAATCCATCCATAGAATATAAAAAAGTGATGCCTTTATAGATATTTGCACTCACCTTTACAGGTTCTATTTCTGTATTTTCTGTGTAACATGACAATCAAAATAGTTAGCAATAACAAGTGGCTTTGTCTTGCTTCTTCTCTGAATAGTGCTTTAATTACTGATGAGCATGGTCTCTCCCTCTAATTATACCTCCTAAGGCCCTATTTGCTTTCTAAACTGCTGCTAGACATCATGCCAGAGGTTTCAAATTTCTGTCTCCTATCACTCCTGTCTAATTTACCTGATTAGTGAAATTAGGTATTGTATTTTTAATCTGTTCATATAAATTTTATTTTCGTCTGTACTAAATGGCATAACTTGCTTGATGCCCATACCTATGCTTTTCCTGTGCTTCCCTCATGTTGATCAGCACTTCCATGTTCACATCACCTCCTGTTTCTTTTCCTCCAGTTTTAAGGGGCAGAGTTTTCATTTAGAGAATAATGGACTCAAAGATTTTATATGGAAAGAGACACCACTTAGTCACATAAAATCCTGGAGAGAAATATGGACATTTTAGCCAGATCATTAATACTAGACAGTAGACAGGGAGGGCAATAAGAATTAGGCTGAAGAAGTTTCTCAGCAGTCAACATAAAATCAGAGCAGTCAACATAAAATCTATACTTTGCAAAAGAAAGTTCAGACATTTTACATCTTCAAATCAGCAGAAAATTTCCTTTTATAAATTCCTGATTAAAGTTACTTCTGAAACATATGAATTTAAGCTGGATCAGTTTTATGGACACTGTCTTTCTCAATTACTGGTTTGGTGTTTTTTTTTTTTTTCCTTAAAGTTTGAGTAGGGACTACTGAGCTATTTTGAAGAACAGACAGGATGAGAATAATACACATTTCTCGTTATTAAAAATAGTAAGAAATCAATTTTGAATAATACAAGTACCAGCACAAGGAGGGGTAGGAAGCTGAAGTATGTCAGCTGAAGAGAAAATGTTTTGGAAGTTCCAAGAAAACTGTTTAGCATTCAATAAGCTCAAATGTCACATAACAGGACAGAGAAATCTCACTTCCTAAAACCCATGGGTATAGATGACTGTCTCACAACTCCAAACTGTCTAACAAATGTAGAACCAAAGCAACAAAAAATCCATTTCAAGCTCACTTGCTCAAACTCAGCCTATCCCTTATGCTGCTAAGTGTGAGCTGCTCTTTGAGGCCAGTAGATCTGCTCAAACCATTTCTCCCAACCAGTCCAGTTGCAAAGCTCGTTCCTTCATTTTTCATCTGCTCCTGACAAATGGGATGGGAGTTCTAAGCCTTTGCCTTCCAACTGTTAACCTGGTGTATGTAACCAAAACCCAAGCGCATTAACTATGAACCCCAGATTACTGATTTTTTCCTTCAGTGGCACGGATTGAGTTTTGCCTACTACCGCTCTCTTACGCTGCTATCATTTCCATGGGTAAGGGCTATTTATATTCCCAACTTGACAGGTACCTCATTTTAAGAAAGCTGTTCTACAAATCACAGCTCTCTGAAGTCTGAACTAGTTCAGCCGGAACAGAGGTCAGTGTAAATGAGGCCCTGTTTGAAATGCTTTCAGTCCTACATCACTTACTAAATTATGTAATTTCTGTTCACACAAACTCCACAGCTCTTCCATGTTTCAGAACTGAAACTCTTCTTCTGATGGTATGAATGAGTCAGGAAGAGAAATAGAAACACTAACAGAAAGTTGTATCCCATTAAGTCCTTAGGAATTTCAGTGAAATTTTAGGACTAAAGCTAGTGAGCAGTGGTAGTGCTTTGTTAGAGTGCAGTTGTACAAAAGGCTCTATTAACAATAATAATACACTTTTACAGCATGTTTTATCCAACAATCCCAGAGACCATTACAAACATTAATTGAGCCTAACTATAGCCTGTAATAAATTAGCATTATTATGCTAATTTTATGGATGGAAAGAGAAAAAGACAGAGAGGTTAAGTGATTCACTCAGGAACAGAACCCAGAACCACGTGCACAAGTGGGTTATACCAATCCAGAAGAACTGTTGTCAGACAAATGGAAGTGGGATGTCAGATATGAACATTATAAAAGGCTTCCAAAACCATGATACAATTACTCCAAGGAAGTGCCCACCAGAAAAGGAAACAGTGTTGCTGTGGACTAATAGCAGGTAAGTTTCTTTCATTTGTTTTTTCATTTTGTAATTCTCACTGGACCTTTGTAGGATCATTCATAAACATTGAGAATTTCTTGCTGGTTATACTGGTTTACTCAGGTGCAAATCTAAAAGTGGAGGATATTTCTAGTAATGGCCATTAGGCCTGAATCAATCATCTGTGTTATTCACATTATTTATTACTTCAAAGAAGACGACAACATGACTGTACCCACTTATCTTTAAAACATCAAGCTAGATATAGAAAGAAGGGCAAACCAGTTAAAATAATAAAATATCTCTCCAAGTACCATTCTGATCTCCTTCAACACTTTCAGCTCTTGGAAAAATAAAAAATTAACAGCTGTTTTGGCTTCCTTTCCATACTGAATATCCTCAAAAACACTTTATCTGGCACTCATGAACCTTAATCTAACATAGCTCACAATAAGATGTGCAACAGTTTCATCTTTACCAAGCATCAGAGACTCTATTCCAGAGAAAAATAATCCTTAGTCTTTCTTCCACGCTTGATACCATTCATCATTTGCTTCTTACACTGGCAGTTTGTTTCACATGCCTGCTTGGTTTTACTACCCTTTAGACTGTCTTTTCAATGATTCCTTCCTTATATGTCTGTGATATGCGATAAATTCTGGAATTTCAGAATTTTCTAGAATACCACAGTCTTTATGCAAATGTATCTTGTTAGTCCCAAAGCAAATAATTTTATTTAAGTCCTCAACAGATTCTTCAATATTAATGGCAGAAGAAAGAAAATGTTCTGTTATCAATATCCAACAAGTAATAAATAAGTACTGAACTGTATTTTTCCCCTACAATATACTGAATAAATTATTGTTGATTACTATTTTCTTTCCTCATTAATCTTCGTAAATGTTTCTTACCTGCTTATGTTGAAGACACATTTTATTTGCTGGCCAGTTCTGGCTTTATCAGTTCTTATGAGAACTCTCCCTCCTTCCTCATTTAATAAAAATTAAGTTAGCATAACATAAGAGCTGGATACTAAAGACATGAAGCAGATCCAGAGTTGTCAACTGCAGTGCAAGCTTCCTCAGCATGCCTAAATCCAGATCCAGAGAGAACACCTTCATGATCAAGAGCATAGCTTAGTCTCCATTTCCAACTAATCACTATCTTCCCTGCTACAAGTATGGTGAGAGCTTTTTCTTGGAGATTTCACTTAGTGGGTTAAAGATTTCAGAAGTTAACATCTTCTGAACACAGCTGCTTCAGATACATACCAGTCATTACATTACTTCCATGCTGATTCTGACAGAAGACGACATTTGAAAAGAACAATAGAAATACTAGGCAGTAAAAAAACCCAAAACCAATCAGTACTGAATGGGCTGATCGTCACACAACTAAGTTGGCAGAGTCAAGCACAGAACACTCAAGTTTTGACCCTCTCCTCATTCAATATGAGCTGAAAATAAACCCTGTGCCCAGCACATCTGTGTCTAGATGGATATGTTTGCTGCTTTGTTTACTTATGTAAGAAAGGCCTAAACAACCACAGCTGTATCTACATTGCCAGCTGCAGGATGTAACTGCAGCAGCACCTTCATGCCTGAGCTAATCTGGGTAGTGACAGAAAGGAGGACACGCCATCACTCACTTCAGCCTAGGCTAATTATACAATTTCCCAGGGTCCCAGACAGGCCTGGTGTGATCACAAGAACACCCCTAACCTTGGTGATCTTTCAGCCAGACTTCCACAAACACTTGAGGCTGAAGCTTGTCAGCCGCTCTTCTCAACACTAGGTGCTTGTTCCTGCCCCAAGTAAATCCATGCCTTATTTTCTTCAAGAACCAACTTCATTACATTTGCTCTGGTTCACTGCCTTGCTACACAAAATCTTGTGCTGGCACAAAGAAACAAGTAGGGGTGGAAAGGTGTGGTTAGGGAAAAGGCAAGATTGCTTCTTCTGGGAAGAAGTAACATCATCTTCATTGTTACTGCCACCTCTTAACACAGTCTTGTAATTACTTTAGACTGGTAGGAGCCAGTCAGAGACCACACTGCTACCAGTGCCTGGTCCTTGTGAAGGCACAGTGAGGGCTGGCTGCTCCCTAAGGGACAGGGAGATGTATCACAGCAAGCAGAGCAGAGACCTCACCAGACACCACCCTACTGTCCTAAAATAAGGGAGCAGGGCAGGCTAAGGGTAGTAGCCGGGGTCAAACCAGATCATCAGGCAAGTTCATGGCAGTGAGGCAGGTCCAAGGTCAGGCTGAGAAGTCAGACTGCAGGTCAGGGTCAGGCACAGCCCTGTGATTGCCATGCAGGTCCGTGGTGCCAGAGCAGGGCTGAGGTCAAGCCAGGAAGCCGGTCTACAGCTCAGGATGAGGCCCAGCCTCGTGATCACTAGGCAGGTCCACAGTGACAGGAGAGAGCCAAGGTCAAGCTGCGAATTCAGCCCACAGGTCTGGGGTCAGGACAGTCCACAATGACCCAGATCAACAGGACCAACAGACAGGCACAGGCACGGCTGTAGTAGAAATAGGTACACACGAACTGAAATAGAGCCCCTGGGCCCATGGGCAGGGGGGTGGGGGTGAGACCCCAGGTGGGGGGCCAAAAAAGGCTTATGAGTGCCTTCAGGGCCCTGAGAGTCCTAGCCTTTCCCCTTTCCTCTGTCCTGTTCCTCCCACTATCCCTATACTAGCCTTA